CAGCCTGACGCTGCCTCTTCCGAGGCGGGTGACTCTGGACCCCCTCCACATGGAATCCCCCGATGCATGCATGACCCTGCGGGACAGTCAGGTTGGGCCCTGGGCTGTCCCAACTGTGGCAGGACCCAGTGCAGCCGGAGCCCAGCGGCCAAGTGGGGCTGGGGCCACAGATGCAGGTGAGCGGAGGACAGATTCAGAGAGCACAGCCCCACGGGGCTCTCCGGAGCCGGGTAAGGGAGCGGCTCTGTCCCACGAGGCCTGGGAGCGACATCAGCCAGGGCACACCTCACGGGACGATGCCCCCGTGGCCCTGGCGCGGCGACTCACCCCCATCAACACGGAGAAGACCCACGTCTTGTGGCTGAAGCAGGGGGGCAGCCTCGACGACAGCTGCAGGTCGCCGGCCTTGGCGTCCGCGTAGCCCTCTGCGTCCGGCCTCCCGCGCTCCAGGGTGGCCATCCGGTCGTAGCTGAGCTCCTCCCGGCAGGACTCCTCCCGCGTCATGGCGCTGGGGACAGACTGGCCTCGTTAGCGCCGCACGGAGCTGTGCCCGGCGCGCTGCCCACTCTGCAACTCGCGGTCGCTCTGGAAACGCTCCGGTTAAAACAAGTCCCCAGTGAGGGAGGACCGTTCACAGCAAGTCCGTGAACTGAACAAGAGCCTCGCTTGCTTCCTCCCTTAGCCCCTTTCCCAGCAAAGCCAACCCGCCTCTGGGTTCGGGCGGGTGCTGGGCTGTGGGTGCGCGGACCGGCCCTGCGTCCTTCAACCCCCACGTCCCAGGAAGCGCTGGCTCCTCCACGCCCTTCAGTTGCTCAAGGTGGTAACTGAACCGTCACCTCCACCCCCCTGTTCCTCACACACACAGGTCCCGTCCATCTGTCCTTCCGTCCGTGCTCACCCTGGGCTGCTGGCGCTGGTCTCCGGGTGGGGGGCTCGCTGCTGCCCAGTCATCCTGCCGGGCCTTCCAGCAGCGACTCCTCAGGGGGAACAAAAGCCCAGCAGATCTGCGCGGGGCCAGGAGCAGGAGGGCCTCGTCCTGAATGTCAATGAGGGGAAGCCGTGACCCTGGGAAGTTCGCGGTGGTTGTGTAACCGCCGGCCTTGCCAGGGCCTGGATTCGCTCCGGGAAACGGAGGGGCCGCCTCGGTCCCACTCAGCACAGGGAGGGTGTGGGCGCCGGGGACATCTCGGAAGAAGTGCCCCCGAGGGGATCCCCCCCCCCCGCACAGAGCCCCGAAAGCGGAGACCGCGGCTCTCTCTTGGAGACTTTTTATTCCCAGCGCTTTTCCCATCCCCTGCGATCATATGAGGAAACCCCCTGCACAACAGCACGCACACGCAAACACACACACACACACACACACACACACACGTCTGCGCGCAGCCCGGCCGGGTGGCCCTGGCCTGCTCAGGACTCTGGCCGTCCCGCCCACAGGCAGCCCCAGAGTCCCCGTGGCGCCCTCTCCTTCTGCTCACTGAGCAGAGAGAAAGGCCAGGACATGCCTCCCCCGGAGACGCTGGCACGGGCGTCACAGCCGCAGGGTCTGTGTGTGCACGGCGAGCTCAGGCGCCCGGAACACCGGCTCCGCACACACAGACCCACGGGAGGTGAGAGCGAAGCATCAGGTCCCCATCGTGGGATGTTCTGCTGTCTCCGTGGGTTTTTGTGTTTTTTTTAATATATTTTTATTGATTTCAGAGAGGAAGGGAGTGGGAGAGAGAGAGAAACATCCATGATGAGAGAGCATCATGGACCGACTGCCTCCTGCACGCCCCCCCACCCCCACCCCCGGGGATGGAGCCCGCAACCCGGGAATCCAACGGTGACCTCCTGGTTCACAGGAGGCCGGGGGAGGAGTGCGCTTTGATGACGAGGCTGAGACATCTGTTGGGCGGCCGAGCGCATCTGCTGAGGAGTTGAGCTGAGAAGTGCAGAATCGGGGATATTTTCCATTGAATTTTAGAAGGAGAGACAGAAGCATCCACGTGGGAGACACATGGATTGGTTGCACCCCCGCCACACACGCCGGACAGGGCCCGGCTCAGACCTGCAACCCAGGGGGGTGCCCTTGACCGGGAGTCGAACCGCAACCCTTCCCTCCGGGCCGACCTCTCACCACTGAGCCCTGCCGGGCGATGCCATATGTGACACCTTGTTTGAAATGGACAAACCCTGAGCAGAGGAGCCGGCGCAGCTGCCTCGCGTTGCACGGCACGTGGAGGAGCCTAGGCTGGTGCAGAAGTTGGTGCAACTCGAAATGAGCCCACGAAGAGGCCTGCAGCCCCGCCGAGCTCACGTGAAGGCCCCCTCTGTGCGAGGCCGTGTTCCCGGCGCCTCGGCCTCGGGGCAGGCGGCTCACTCCCCGAGGCCGCAGGAGACGATACCGAGGGGCTGGGACACGCGGGAGGGGACAGTCCGGACCAGGGTCCCCGGAGCAAAGACGCGGCCACGACCCGGCGCCTTCTCCCGGGAGAGCAGCGTGTTTAACGCGGAAAACCTGCCCGTGTGACTCGCTCTCAGGAACCAGGGCCGCGCGTGGCAGGTGCCGAAGGGCATCCCCAACCCGGCTCTGGAGGAGGGGCGTGGCCGGAACCAAAGCGACGTCTGACAGCAGCCAATGGGAAGGAGGCCCGGAGGCCCACCTGCGCGAAGCCCCGCCCTCCAGCACAAGCCAAGGGCCGGGCATGACATCACTCCCACACTGCACCGCGCCTAGGCACACTAACGGTCGCCAACGGCCCACAAACACCGCTAGCGGAGACCCCATTGGCCAATAGCGATGGGGCATGGACGCAGGCGCGGTCGCAGTCCCGGAGGGCGGCAACCCCATTGGCCAAAATCAAAGGGGCTCCGGTGCAGGCTCCAGTGAGGCAACCCCATTGGCCAAACTCCGCGAACAAACAAGGCGAAGGCGCAGGCGCAGGCGCGGTCACCCCATTGGCTGAGGGCGGTGGGAGCGACGTGGCCACGTGCAGGGGCCTCGGGCAGCTGGACGCTGCGCTGACGAGGCTGCGGCCGGCCATGTTGCGCCTCGCGGCCAAGGTGGTGGCCTTCTTCTGGAGGAGGGCGGACAGCCCCGACGAGGAGACCGGGCTGCGGAGGCTCGAGCCCGCGGAAGGTGCCTCGCGGGCCGTGGGCCGGGGCCGGGGCTGGGGCTGCGGGCGGCGGCGGTCCCCAGGGCGAGGCCTCCCGGGGGAGAGCAGTCAGGCCGGGCGCCTAGTCGACCTCCCACCTCCCCCGCAGGCGCGTCCCGGCTCTGGCCTGTGGCGTGGCCTCTCCCTCCGCCCCGTGGGCTTGGAGGGGCAGCTGGAGCCCAGACTCCCCTCCAGGGGCCGCGGAGCGGACGTGCTCCCAGGTGTCTCCCGTGTCGGGGAAGCCGCAGAGCAGGTGCAGGGAGGGCCCAGGACACGGGGCGGCAGCAGCCTTGTCGCCAGCAATGGGGAGGGGGGGTCCCCTGGACCCTCAGCACGCCCTGCCCCCGGGCCAGGCCCGGGATCTCCCGCGTCGCCTCGTTTTGTGAGATAATTTCCTGGCGCTGCTGCCGAGGTTGTGGATTACGAAAGAGGAAAAAGCGACAGTAGGGATCACAAGTCCCCGGATGCGGCATCACTCACAGTCACCCCCACTGCGCCCCAGCCTCCCGGGCCCGGGCATCGGTGGAGGCTGTCCCGGCGCCCCCTTCGCCAGGGAGCAGGCACGAGGCGGTCGGGACCCGGCCTGGGGTTCCACGTGGCCGTGGAAGAGCTGGCGGTCGAGCACCAGGCAGCCTGCCTCACGCACCCGACTTCTCGGACGCTCCCCCGGGGGGAGGTGGGGGGGGGCCTGCAGCCCACCTCCCCTCCAGCAGGGCCGAGGCGTCCGGCGGGCCCGCGCTGGCCGTCAGCGGAGCCGCTTTGTCCGTCCGTCCGTCCAGGTGACGCCAAGCTGAAAACCGTGCAGGGCGTGGTGACGAGGTACTGCAGCGACTACGGCATGATCGACGACCTCATCTACTTCTCCAACGACGTGGTGACGAGCAAAGTGCTGCTGAGCGTGGGGCAGGAGGTCATCGCGGTGGTGGAGGAAGATAAAGTGTCCAACGGGCTGAAGGCCGTCAGGGTGAGGCCCGCCTGGGCGCGGGAGCTTCCTTCCGGGTCCCCGGGGCCGCCCGCCCGGTGGCCTCGGAGACACCTGGCTAAGGGGGGAGACGGGGTACCTGCCCAGGCGCATTTGTTCTCGCGGCGGTTTCTGTTTTAAAAAGTCAGTGGTGGTCGTTGTAAATCGAACACCATAGACACTTACCCTTCGTAAGTTTGCCTGTAACTTTATACTGTGGAGATGCACACGGTTAACATTTCTGTATTCTTTTGCTCTCCAAAAAGTATTGTTAAAAGTAGTAGTTACTGGACCCTGTGTTATCCCGTTAGCGGATCCTATTATTCAGCAACTTTTTTATTTGCAAATAGTCCTTTTGTAATTTCTTGGAAGTAGGATTGTTAGGCAAAGGGTGTGCACACTTCACACTTCAGTGGTTGGTGTCTGATTACTTCCCAGTCACATTGTACTAATTTGAACTCTTGGGAGCAGGTGGAAGGCTGTCTGTTCCCCAAGGTTGACAAGGGCGTGGATGTCTCACTCTTGTGAATCTTTGCCAGTCTAATCAGTGAACAGTTATCTCGTAATTTTATTTCTCACTTAAGTTTTAAAATAATATTTCACTTTTTTTCTATGAAATATTTTTCTGTCCTTTGTCCCTATTTTTTGTGGGGCTCAACTTTTTAAAGAAAATTCTATTTTTAAGGAAATTAGATCTTTTAAAGGAAAATTGGTATATGAAAGTGTTGCAAATATTTTCCCCAAGATTATCTTTTGGCTTTGATTTATAGTTTTTTGTAGTTAAATGTGTCTGTCTTTTCATTGTAGCTTTTGAGCTCTGTAAGAAACCTCAGCCTGGCCAGGGATCACGGTTCGATTCCTGGTCAAGGCACATGCCTGGGTTTCGGGTTCAATCCCCAGTGGGGGATGTACAGGAAGCAGTTGATCCATAATTCTCTCTCGTCATTGTTGTTTCTACCTCCTCTCCCTCCCTTCCTCTCTGAAATCAATAAAAATAATATATTTTTAAAAGTTATTCATTAATCCAAGAGCATGGCCATTTTTGCCTATTCTTTCTAAGAGTTTTATAGTTTTAGCTCTTAAGTGTAAGTCTTTGATCCATTTTGAGCTAATCTCTGAGTATGGTGTTGGGTAAGGTTTTGACTTCTTTCTTTTGCATGTTGGTATCCAGTTTTCCCACCATCACGTTTTAGAAGCCTTCACTGTGGGGAAACCCTTTCTACATTGAATGGTCTTGGGACCTGGTCAGGTAGCTCAGTTGGTTAGAGTGTTGTCCCACCAAGGTTGTGGGTTAAATACCCAGATAGGACACACACAAGAATCAGTCAGTGAATGCAGAGGTCAGTCGAACAACAGATCCATGTTTCTCTCCCTCCCTCCCTCGCACTCCCTCCCTCCATCTATCTATTCATCCATCCCTCCCTGCCCCTCTTTCTCTGTAAAATAAATACATTTTAAAAGAAAATCTATTGACCATATGTGCCGTTTATTTCTGGAATCTGTTCCTGTGCCTGTCCTCGTGCCATTGCCACAGTGTTTGATGACTATAACTCTGTAGCAAGTTTTGAAATCAGATGTGGAACTTGCAGCTTTGTTCTTCCTTTTCAAGATAGTTTTGCTACTCAAGGCCCCTGAGAGACGGTATGAATTTTAGGAGGGTTTTCTATTTCTACAAGGTCACTGGGATTTGGATGGGGATTGTGGTGAATTTCTAGATTGCTTAGCATAATATTGGCATTTTAATATAAGTCTTCCAATTCATGAACAGTGTCTTTCCATTTGTTTGTGTCTTTAACTTCTTCCAGCCACTTTTTATAATTTTCGGTGTATAAGTCTTCCATCTCCTTGGTTAAATTTATTCCTAAGTTTCTTTTTCTTTTTGATGTGTCTGTATGTAGCAAATTGGTTTTTTAATTTCACTTTTTGGAATATTCATCGCAAGTAATTTTTGTTGATTTGTATCTTGAACTTTGCTGAATTCATTTATTAGCTATAACAGTTTTTTAATGGGATATTTAGTGAATTTTTACATATAAGATCATGCCATCTGTAAGCAGAGATAAATTTACTTCTTCCTTTCCAGGTTAGATTCCTTTTCTTTTTTTCATTTTTTTTTTCTTTTTTTGCCTGTTGCTCTGGCTAGCCCGTCCAGTGCTGTTTTGGCAGAAGTGGCAAAAGGAGGCACCTCATCTTGTTCCTGATCTTAGAGGAAAAGCTTTCAGTGAGTGTCGCTGCTAACCGTGACGTTGGCAGGACACTGCCCACGTGGCCGTGATGGTGTCTGTGCCTCGTGTGCGGAGCGTTGCATCACGAGAGCAGGTTGGGTTTGGTCAGGTGCCTTCTCTGCACCCGAGACGACGGTTGTTTTCCCGGCTCCTCCAGTGTGTGTGTCACGTGGGTGGAGTTTCTTTGTCGACCCGCCTTGCCTTCTGGGATAAGCCCTCCTCGCTTGTGCATAATCCTTTTAATAGTTTGCTGCATTCAGTCTGCTAGTCTTTTATTGAGGGTTTTTGCATCGCTCTTCATAGGAGGTACTAGTCTTCAGTCTGCTTTCCTGTGGGCCTCTTATGCTTTAACAGAGGTTGGTTTGTCTCTCAGGTGGAAGCTGTTTCTGATAAATGGGAAGAGGACAGCAAAAACCAGGGCAGAGGACTGTCCGACTCCAGGCCCCGGGTGCTGATTGGCTGTGTGACGTCGCTGATGAAGGGCGCTGGCTACATCAACCAGACCACATACTTCTCTCTGAAGAGCGTTTGTGAAGGTCAGCGGGGTGGCTTTCTCCTCCACATTAAAAAGCGGGTTTTCCGTTTGTTCTGTCATAGATTCGCAATGGTTAGTGCGTCCCTGAGGCTCAGATGGGGGCGCGTTTTGTACGTTGAGAGAGTCTTGTCCTGGACGTGCTATCGTTTGTGCTCGTTCGTGGAATGCGGCCGTCGTCTCTGAGTAACTGCTCCTTGCACGTGGTCAGTGTTGCCTCGGACACGGGCAGTGCTGTTTCTCAGGCACTTCGCACGCTTTAAGGGGGTGTGGGGAACCTGCACCTCCCAGGAGCACGTGTCCGTGTGTGATCGCACTTGTTTGAGCTGATCTCAGATTTTGTTTTCTTGGGGAGCCTGCTGGGCACAGTGGTAGGAGGGCAGCAACAGGGGGCCCAAGACAGTGGCTCTTCCTCCCGAGCAGACCATCCCTTTGGGGACCCAGCGGTACCTGCCCGCCCCGGGACGAGCGGGGGGTGGGAATTACGGCGCTGGGGCGGGGGGGGGGGGCCGGGGAGGTGCTTTCTGAGCTGAACTCCAGCCCCAGGCCCTGCAGAGTGCCTGCTGAGAGGTAGGCGTGGGACTCCCCACCTGGGCTGTGGGCATCAGCTCATCCTGCCGGGAGCCGGCTGTGTCCCCTTGACGGCCATGAAAGTTGGGGGCAGCCTTGACTGCTAACCTTGGGAGCCCCCAAGTGCAGTCGACAGGTGGCTGGTGGCTGGGACAGGGTGCTCATCACCAGCTCCCACAGGAACAGCTCGGGGTCTAGTTCTGTGCTCTGTCCTTTGGGCCTATTGCTGTCGGAAGTGCTTATTGCAAAAGAACCAAAAGGCTGTATCTGGTGGTGGCTTTACACCAGGCACCACAGCCATCCTGCCCAGACTGCTCTCTCCCTGCCTTGTGTCAGGACTGCATTCCATGCCACTGAGCTTCCCAGCCTGCCAGAGGGGGCGGGCACCTTGCACCCTGCAGGCCGTGGCACCGGCCACCGCACGGCTACCTGGCATGCCACAGGGCTGGCAGGGCACTGCCTGCTCCCCACCTGAGCTGGCAGAGACCTAGCTGCCAGCCCTCAGTTCCCCTCGTCCCCAGCACCCTGGGTCCCTAAGTGGGAGGGACACTCAGTGCATCTGGGCAGAGGTGGTAGGGACAGGGTGTCGTGAAACTGTCCACCACACGTGCGCCCACACCTTCTAGAATAGCGGTTCTCAACTTGTGGGTCGTGACCCCTTTGGGGGTCGAACGACCCTTTCACAGGGGTCGCCTAAATACATCCTGCATATCAGATATTTACGTTACGGTTCATAACAGAAGCAACATTACAGTTATGAAGTAGCAACGAAAATAATTTTATGGTTGGGGGTCAGCACAACATGAGGAACTGTATTAAAGGGTCGTGGCATTAGGAAGGTTGAGAACCACTGTTCTAGAAGGTGGAGGTGATGACAGGTCTGCTACTGAGCTGATTGTGTTGCCGCTAATACCTGGGGTTTTTAATGAAAAGTATGGGGAATCTCTGAAACCAGATGGGCTTCTGAGACTGCGCACCAGCTTCGTGGCTGCCTGACCGTGGGCCTGTCTGGCAGGGAGAGTCGGGCTGAGGGGAGGAGGCCCTGCAGCCAGGTGGGTCTGCAGGAGACTCAGGGTCACAGTGTCCCTGTGGGCAGAGCACCAGTGCCTTGTCCCTTCCGAGGGGCTGGACACTACGGGGGGACGGCCCAGGTGACACTGCCCTCCTGCCTCGGAGGTTTCGAGCCGTGCAAGGGAGACTGGGTGGAGGCCACCTACTGGATCCGGCCGGGCACGTGGAGCAGCGAGGCCCTGTCGGTGAAGCCGCTGCGGTACAAGCGTGTGGACAAGGTAGGTGCTGGCCCTCGCTGGTCCCGGTTCCCCGGGGGACACTGGGTGAGTCACTCGTCGGGTTCAGTGTTGGCCAGAGAAGACCACCCAGTGTGCTGTCCTGGTTTAGTCCTAAGTGCCCTGCCCTGCTTGTGGGCAGTGGGGTACAGGACTTGGGCGTGTGGGGGTGGCGGCGTGCGAGGGGCCTTGGCTCCGAGGCCCCCACACTGCGTTATCTTCAGGGCATTGCCCCGAGAACAGGGTCCTCACTCCCCCCGAGGTCCCCCAGGCGAGGGGAGGCTGCGGTCACTGGGCCTTTGTTCGAGGGCCAGTGGGCCGGCCGGTTGGTGAGGCCGTCTGCATGCTGTGCCCGCAGGTCTGCATTTCCAGCCTCTGTGGCAGAAACGGGGTGATCGACGACTGTGTCTTCTTCACCCTGGACTCCCTGAAGCTCCCCGAGGGCTACGTGCCTCGAAGGCACGACGTGGTCAGCACTGTGGTGGTGGAGAGCAGCCAGTCCTGCTACATGTGGAGGGCCCTGTGCGTGACCCCCGTGAAGAGACGGTGAGGCCCGCTGGCTGGGGGTGAGAGTTCCCTGCGCTAGCCCAGCGGCCGTCTGCGTCCCCGTCCGGGTGGGTGGTGGTGGGCGGGAGGCATCTCCCACAGGAGTCGATGGTGCTCGATCGGAGGTCGAGTGGAAGGCTCCCTCCTGCCCTGGTCTGGCCTGGGTGATTCTTCAGCACGTTGGCGTTTTGTGGGCACATGACATGGCCGATTCCTACGTGACTGACTCGTGTCTGTGTCCTCCTGCGTCGCCAATGGCCTCCCTCCCCCAGGCAGTGGGCTCCGCTGTGAAGCACCGCCTCTCCCTGCTTTTCCTCCGCAGCACCCACTTCCCGGGATCTCACCACACAGGGCCCCCAGTCATGCTGCTGTCACCCATCTCCTCACTAAACGCACGCTCATCCTGGGCAGGACGGCGGGCGGGACAGACTGACTGCGCTCGGGCTGTGGGCGTGGTTGGTGCGGCCTGTCACTCCAGCCCGGCCCCTCCTGTCCAGCTCAGGGTCATGGTCTTGTCCGGATCCGTGTGTTCTCCCAGCGCCGACCTCAGCACGTGGTGATTTACTAACTGCGCTCTCAGAGGGGTGGTGGCCGTGTGCAGTGGTGGGTGCAAGCCAGGCCCCTGGCAATGGTCGGTCCCTCCTGCTCCGCCTCCTTGGGCAGCCGTCCAGGGGTTGCTGGTCCTCCCTGGCCAGTGACTGGCCCCAGGCCTGCTCCACGAGGCTCCTCCCTCGTCTGCCTCAGGTAGCCGTCTTCCCGGGGAGGGGGAGGCCCCGCCCTCAGTGCCGGGCTGGCTGCGAGCTGGCCCATCCTTGGGCTCGGTGTCCTCATCGCCGCTCAGAGCGGGGCTGGGGGCTGAGGGGCACGGAACTGGCTGGACCCCTGTCTGGGCAGCACAGGGTCAGGGCCCGCTGCCTGTGTGCCAGCACTGTCCCAGCCACAGGAGCGGGCCTGGCACCGAGAGGGCCATGCTCTGCCCGCCAGGATGTGCTGTCCCCCACCCCCTACCCCCACCCCGGCTCCCTGTCTGAGCTGTTTTCTCTGACGTGCATCCAGATGCCACAATGGCAGCCACTCAGACCACCATCCGGCCACCAATCTGAGTGCCCACTGTGTGTGCCCATCGAGTGTCGGCCCTGCTGCAGACCCTGCGCTTCCCACGGTCTTGCACATCTGCACGGGGGCGGGGAGGGGGGGAGCCCTGCGACTCACTCCTGACCTCAACTGTCCATCACAGAGGTCAGCTGAGCAGCCCCGAGACCCAGCGGCTCCAGTGCTGCCCCCGCGGCCACGGTCCTGTCGGCACCTGTGCAGGAGAGGAAGGGGGGCGGCCTGTGTAGATGGGGAATTGGAGGGGCAGCAGCCAGCAGAGGGGGTCACTGGTGTGGTGAGAATGTCACTGCATTTGCATGTGGGTTGGTAATGCCCAGGTGTACATGACTGAAGGCCTGCACTCTGAGTGCCCCCGCAGGTGGGGCGGGCGGGCGTGTGCCTGGTGGGCCTCCTGGAGGCAGTGCTCAGGTGAGCAGTGTCTGGAATAAAGGGAGAGGGGTCTGGGTAGGGGAGAGAACCCTCTCATTTATAAAAAAAAGAAAGAAAGAAAGCCTGCTGTCCCTAATAATCAACAGCTGCCCTCTCCCTCCCCACCCCCCCCCCCAAGGCTCAGAACCGCCTTCGCGGTGTCACCGCTGCCTCGCCTCCTCTCTGGAGCTTGTAGGACTGTCACTCACCCTCGGGGTGGCTGTGTCCTTGCGGGTCCTCGGCACCAGGACCAGCCCGGTGTCCGTCCCTCTGGGCGCATGCCCCTCACCCAGCAGCTGGCCCTGCACCTGGTGTTGGGGGCCTGGGAGGAGAGGCAGTGGGCAGGGGCAGAGCCTGGGACGGCAGCCTGCAGGTGACTGACACTCTGTGGGGTTCTCCAGAGACCACGCCCCCGCTGAGGCCTCTGAGGAGACCTGCGAGGCCCTCCTGCTGCAGAACAAGGGCGGCCTGGAAGTCACCAGGGCCACCAGCTTCGGCACGCTGCGGGAAGGGGCCAGCAGGAGCCTGGTGGTCTGCATCGAGTGAGTCCCACCCTCCCCGCCGTGCTTCCAGCTGGGGCTTAAGATCCTACAGAACAACCTTCACTCTCCTGCCCCCTTGGTTTTTCCTTTACGCAAGTGTTCACCACAAAACTTAGTTATGCTCGTGAAGGTATTTGCAGCCACCATGTACCAGTTCCTTTGAACTATTTCACAGTAACGGCAGCTCCCTTTGTGCAGGAATAAAGGAGACGTCCCGCAGAAGCTGGTCAGCTGCAAGCTGGCCGGCTGGGACAGAACCAGACAGTTCCGGTTCCACTTGCTGCGGGGGACCCAGCACAGCCCCCCAGCACCTGTTCCCGACCCTGAGACGCGGGAGAGCTGCCCAGACAAAACCTACCAGATGGCGGAGGGCAGCGTGGCCCACAACAGAGCGGTCTCTCCAGGTGGACGGGGCCCTGGCCGGTCGGGGGACCCAGGGGCCTCGATGCCGTGGCCTCTGGTTCGAGTTCTCTGATGATTCGGGGCTGAGGACAGGGACCAAGGTCGTTGGTGACCCCGGAAGTGCATTGGACATGCTGCTTCCTACAGACACTTCCAAACGGGGGAGGCTGCCTGCTGTCGGCTTTCTGTCCCCTGTTGGGTGATAGGCTGTGTGTGCGCGCTGGAGTCCACAGGCCGCCACCACGGCCACCAGCAGCTGACCGCTGGGTCTCCTGTCCCCTCTCAGATGACTGTGCCTGCAAAGGAGAAGAGGGAGGCAGCGGACAGGGCGGCTGGAGGAGGCAGGTCCCGGAGCCTGAGCCCAGTGGGCTCATCCCTCCCGGAGGAAGAGCCCTGATTGTGGTCACCTGTGAGGCCAAGTACGTGCTGCTGGGTTTTCAGGGGTTTGGCTGGGACGTTGGCACATGCATCTCAGGTCCCGTGTGTGGCCCTTATAAACAGGATCTGTAGCTCTTTCGATGGGACAGACTCAAAAGAAAACGCGTTGGTGGAGACGGTGGCTTGAGTGAGTTCCGCTGTGAGGCAATGACCCCCTTCCCTGACTTGTGAGTGAGAGGACAGCTGGGCGCCCTCAGCCTGGGCGCCGCTGCCTCTTCTCCTTCCACGTGTCCTGAGCCCCTGCCACTGCCTGCTGGTCGCCTGTCCGCTGGACATTTTGGCCGCAGTCTGCCATCTCCATTTGCTAATTAATTGTCAATCTTTTGTGAACATGGATGTGAGTGAGTGCGTCCCTGCCTCGCTGTAAGCCCAGCGGTGTCCAACCATGGGGACCTCAGGGCTCCTTCAGCCCGGCCGGCGCGTGTGCCGCAGCCCCTCTCCGTGACCCCTGGGATCCTGTGAGGATGTGGGGCGGGGACCGCACTGGGGCCAGGGCCACAGCAGGAGTTCGGGCAGGAAGCAGTGATGACCCGTGTCTGGTCGTGTCAGACGGTTCCGATGGAAATTTAGGAAAACTGTTCTGAGGTTTGACAATTACAGAGGTGACTGTTTGGGGTGCTTGACTGTCTTGGGGACGTGTTGCGTCGTTACTGTGGAAAGTCCCTTTCCCTGTGAGAGAATTGTTAGAAACAAAGGGTCCTGTTCCGGGAGCCTGGCTGCCTCTGCACAGGGGCCCACACTGGCCATGTCTTGTTTGGCAGGACTGCCGGCCGCTGCAAGGAGCTCCTCCTGCTCTGCTTCTCCAGCTGCCTCATCGGGCGCGTCCTGGACGTGGGCGTGGTGAGCGCGGAGGAGGCCCTGGTCGCCGTGCGCGAGCCCTTCCTGTGGAAGAAGTCCAAGAGCTCCCCGGCGCCGGCGCCCGCGAAAACGACGGTTGTCGTGACCACGCAGAAAAGGTACCGTGACAGGAGGGACAGCGGGTGGCCTGGCGTGCACTCGCGGGGTGACCGCTGGCTGAGGGGAGGCGGTGTGGGGGGCTCTTTCCACCCTTTACTTGGGGGATGGTGTGTTCATACAAAACTGTCAGGGCGGCCGGGGTGCAGCCCACAGTGCGTATGAGGACGAGGAAGTGTACCTGCTACGCCCCGGCCGCCACTTCACCACCTCAGGTCCCCGCCAACTCTGTATTCCCCGCAGCCCAGCCTGTCTCCCAAGAAGGGGGCAGTGCTGGCGCCATCCTCACCCACGTCAGGTACACCTGTGAACTGGCGGCAGCCGCACCGTGTGGCGCTGTGACACCCGCTCTTCCCTGGTCTCCTGTCCGGGTGCCCCTCCGGCCATCATGCTGCTGCATCAGGTTTGCCCACAGCAGTGGTGGCGACTCCCAGTGGCAGCCCCTGCCGGGGAGGCAGAGCTGGAGGGTGACCGGCGAGAGCGGAGTCAGGCCTGGGCGGAGCAGCCGTCAGCAGCGCGCTCTGTGGCTGTGGCTGCGGTTCCCATAGTCACGCCCTGTCAGGCACAGCAGTCAAGGTGCGGACCCCCTGGTTCCCAGGGTCTTGTGCACCGGCCGCCCTGCTGCAGCTGGGAGGATGCCCCCAGTAAATGCTGGCGCCCGCTGACGGGGCCGCGGCTGCTGCGTCGTTCCTGTGGTGACCGAGGAACTTGTGCCAGATGTCGTGACGAAGAATCATTTCCAACTGAATTTCTTCCTTAAGGAACTCAAGACGCCAGCTCCCCAGTTTCCTTCCCCAGTACCCCATCCCCGACCGGCTGAAGAAGTGTGTGGAGCAGAAGATTGACATCCTGACTTTCCAGCCGCTGCTCGCCGAGGTAGGAGCTGGTAGGAGCTGGTGCAGGCTGCCTTGGTCGTGGGCACCGTGGCCTCGGGCCTTCTGCCGGAGAAGGGGTGTCGGCCTGAGGCGGCCCCCGGTGTGGCGGCTTCCCTGAGGGGCTGGGTCGTTAATGCTCTTTAGCTGTCACTGGATTTGGGGCGAATAGTCTCAGGTTAGGGCCTGAGCCCCAGCCCCTCAGCTGCCAGGCGGGAGCCCCACGGGCGCCCTCCACTTCTCTGTGGCGTTTTTGCTGACGTCAGAAGTCTGACTTCTGCGTCTGCTTTGAGCTCCGTGAGGCGTCTTGGCGTTTTTACGCTACGTAACCAGTGCTCGGTAAGGCGTTTAGAAAGGTTCCACGCTGACCTTTCCTGGTGCTGTCGGCCCCACGTGGACCCGGCCTCTGGGTGCCCCTGGGTGCTCATTGGCTTCGTGTCTGGAAAAGTCTGAGGAGGCTGCACCCCCGAGCCGTTCCTGACGGCACAGCTGCTCTGCTGCCTCTGCCCTTCACACACAGGCTGGGCTTTCCTGCTGCGTCTGCGAAGGCTCTGTCGCCGGCTCTACGACACTTAACGGACCACGTGCCTTGGTGCCGTTTCCCTCCTGTTCCTGGGTTCTTTGCGCTGCTCGGCTGTGTGGCTGATGGTTTCCCTCCCACCCCGTCCCTGGCGCTCTGCTCCTTTTTCTCTCGCCACTTCCCCTCTGCACTGGGTTTCGACAGGTTCAAGTCCACTCATTTTCTTCTGTCTTCTCTGTGCTTGACACGCTCGGTCTTCCTCGCCTTTTTGAACATAAACGACGCTTATGGCCACGGCTCTCACGTCCTGTCTCCTGCGTGGGGCTGGGGGTTTCCTCCTCGGGCTCAAGTGCTCCTTCCAGCCGGAGGTCTCGTGGCTGCCGACGTCCTGGGTTTTACCTTGTTGAGCTCAGTTCTGGGGCCCAGTGGAGTTACTTGGAAAAGCAGGATGCTTTCCTGCATTAAAGCTTTGCTCGGTGGAAACAGAGGTGCACTTGGGGGCTGGTGCCCTCTGACCCTGCCCAGGGCAGTGTAGTGCATGGGCTGCATTGGGCTGGCGGCCACGTCCTGGCCCTGTGGGAGCTCTGGGAATGGTTCCCTTCAACCGGCACTTCTCCACAGTGACAGTTAGCCCCCTGGAGTGTTTTTGGTGTCACAACTAGGGTGCTGTAGAGGCCAGGAGCGCTGCCCATATCCTACAATGCACAGGAGGGTCCCTCTCCGACCGCAGTGCACCCGATGCCCAGGCCGCCGAGGCTGGGAGCCCTGTCCTCTGAGGTTGCTCCCACACCCTGAGCAGTGCCGGGCATCTCTCTGCGCTGCCCCCTAGGCCCGTGGTCGCCAAACTGCGGCTCGCAAGCCACATGCGGTTCTTTGGTCCCTTGAGTGTGGCTCTTCCTAAGCCTTAGGAGCACCCTAATTAAGTTAATGAGAATGTACCTACCTATATAGTTTAACTTTAAAAAATTTGGTTCTCAAAAGAAATTTCAATCGTTGTACTGTTGATATTTGGCTCTGCTGACTAATGAGTTTGCCGACCACTGGCCTAGGCCTCCCCGAACCCCCAGCTCCACCTCCTCACCACCCAGGCCACACAGCTCTGGGTGCTGTCCCTGTGCCAGGCTCTGCAAACTGCCCAGTCGCCGTGGGGCGGTGGTGGGGCTCACTGAGACGCCCCGCCTCAGGACCGCTGTCCTGCACGGCCTGTGGTCACTGCAGCCCTCACTTCCCGTCTGGCATGTCAGCTGCTGTCTCCGGGGCATGGGGTGCTCCCCGTGCTCTGCGCTCACTGGCTGGCTCGTCGCTTTCAGCTTCTGAACATGTCAAACTACAAGGAGAAGCTGTCCACTCTGCTCTGGCTCGAGGAGATCCACGCGGAGATAGAGCTGAAAGAGTATAACATGAGCGGGGTCGTCCTGAAGAGGAACGGGGACTTGCTGGTGCTGGAGGTCCCAGGGCTGGCTGAGAGCCGGCCTTCCCTGTACGCAGGTGGGTGTGGACCCGCCCGGGAGGAGCGGTTTAAACTGGCGCCACATGGTCCCGTGAGCTCAGTTTCTTGGTTTGGGTTAGAATGTCACTTAAAACGTGGTCAGGGACTCGGCACCTGTCTCCTGTCCCTGACGTCACATGAAGTGGTGTGTCCTCTGATGTGCTGCCGTGGTCACGTGGTCCTGTGCTTCTCTAGGTGACAAGCTGGTTCTGAAAACGCAGGAGTACAATGGGCACGTCGTTGAGTACATCGGCTACGTGGTGAAGGTGAGGCTGCCGGGCGGGAGGGTCCCCAGGACAGAGCAGGTGCGTCTCAGAGTCGGGGAGTGGCCTCGCCTTTCCTCCCTTTGCTCGCGTTCTTCTCCAGGTTTCTGAATGGCCTGTTGGCTTCAGGAAAGCTGCCCTGTCATTTCGGTAGGGTCTTGGGCTCCCTTGTTTTTGTCTTCCCGCTCTTTAACTTCATACCTCGTCTTTGTGTTTCTGTAAGTGACAGTGTCTGTCTGTGGTGTCCTCCAGGCCTGAATCCGATGCAGCTGTGCTGACCTCACTCCGGGGAACATGCTTGCCATGTCTTGGCCGTCTCTGATCATGACCCGTTTTCCTCCTCAGTCTGGGGAACCTGGGCCTTCGCTGGGCGGCCTGCTTCCCCGGAGGGCCTCTGGGCTCCTGCGGTGATTCCCGCCCTGCCTCCTGACCCCACCACACTGCGCCCAGCACCCCCAGGCTACGAGGTGTACCAGTTAATGATGCAGATTTTCCCAATAGATGAAAATTTATCACATATCCTCCTACATGATAAAGAGCTAATATGCAAATGGTCATCACGCCCTCACACTGTAACGGCTCAGACACTCAACACTGGGGAGAGAGGAATGGGGACCAGCCAGGCTGTGGCCTGGGAAGGGGACAAGTTGCCCGCCCCGCAATTCCAGGTGCCTGTGGCTGTGGCCCAAGCAAAGCTGCCCACCCACGGTCCCTTGCGACTGCGGCCAGCCCAGGCGAAGCCGGCCCAGGTCCTGGGTGCCTGCGGCCAGCCAGAGAAAGGGAAGCACGGGTCCCGGGTGTGGGGTGAGGCAGAGGTGGTTAGGGGCGATCAGGGGAGCAGTTAGGGGCGATCAGGCCGGTAGGGGAACAGTTAGGGGTGATCAGGCAGGCGAGCAGTTAGGAGCCAGTGGTCCCGGATTGTGAGAGGCAGTCGGACATCCCCCGAGGGGTCCCGGATTGGAGAGAGTGCAGGCCGGGCTGAGGGACCCCTCCCCCGTGCGCGAATTTCTTGAACCGGGCCTCTGGTGTTGATCTATAGGTGATTTTACATGTATGCTATTTTGTCGTATTGACAAGCTTCAAAACTTCATATGTCAAATTTTCTGAAGGTGTTAACATCATAGATACTTTTGTGCCTAAAAATGTCAAATTTCATGCCAAAAAAGCATTTGCGGTAAGTTTTAATTCATTATTTTGAAGAAAAGTGCTGCTGAAAGTTATCGTATACTTTGGGAAGCTTATGGTGAACATGCTCCATCTCAAGATACTTGTGAACGCTAGTTTAAACGCTTTAACACTTGGGTTGCGGGTGAATTTCCCGCCAAAATATAAGATGGCGCATTAAAATGCCTATATCTTTTGAAGTATGGGTTCGATTGAAATGAAATATTTGGTAATACGCAGTTACAATCGGCCCGAGTTTACACGTTTCCCGCACTCCACCGCAAATCTATATGAACCGAGTTTAAGACGGCTCCTGCAGAGTACGCGCAATTCACGCGAGCCGACTTAACTCGTTTCCCGCAACCCAAGTGTTTAAAAGTGATAATTTTGATGTGAAAGACAACGCCCAGGTCAACCAAAAAAGTTTGAAGACCAACAATTATAAGCATTATTGGATGAAGATGCGTGTCAAACTCAAAAACAACTTGCAGAAATATTAAGCGTAAAAATATCTATGATACTAACACCTTCAGAAAATTTGACATATGAAGTTTTGAAGCTTGTCAATACGACAAAAGAGCATACGTATCAAATCGCATATATATCAACATGAGTGTAACTCCATCTAGTGACAAAAATCCGCATTATTAACCGGTTCACCTAGTAGAGCCCGGCCAGTGGAGTCCTCCCCACTCTCCCTGGGCCTCCTCAGAAACGCCTTTCCTCCCGCTGGTCCGGATCACTCTCTGCAGGATCTGTTTGGCTGGAGGGTCCACTGGGAGGGGTGGTCCCGGGACAGCCTGGCCCCGTGGCTGTGTTCCTGGTGTGCAGACCCCCGGAGCCAGGGAGGGGAATCGGGACGCGTGTGTGGGGTGGGCGCCGTGATGGTTGTTACACCCGGTGGCCCCTCAGATCTGTGGGATGTGTCACCATGTGCCGCAGAGACAGACGAGACCGTCACAAGGAATCGAGTACAAAGGATGGAAGTTACGCTGTTGGTTTCTCCTTTAGATTCACGAAGAAGATGTGACCCTTAAGCTGAATCCGGAATTTGAACAAGCGTATAACTTTGAGCCTATGGACGTGGAATTTACATACAACAGGTAATGCTTTTAGCGCCTCCCCAAACCGGTCTTCCTTCTTGATGGTGGCGCCTCCTGCCTTGGCCCCTGAGCATCAGTGTTGCAGGAGGAGACGTGGCCGAGGCTGGTGCTGAGGGGTCGCTTCTGCTCCCCCGTGTCCCAGCTGCCTGCTCTCGGGGCCCCTGCCAGTGCGTCTGGGTGCCGTGTGTGTGTGTGTGTGTGTGTGTGTGTGTGTGTGTGTGTCTGTGTGTGTGCGCATCTCGGTGCCCTGTGTGAGTTCTCATCACCATACACTACGTCCGGTACCTGAGCAGTTGGTGGAGCACACATTCTTAAGCTAGCCCTTTATCAGGTATGTTTTTTGCAAATATTGTCTTAGATCGTGGCTTGTGTTTTTATTGTTTTTAATGTCTTCGAGGAGCAGAAATTTTTAATTTTAAGGAAGTTGATCAGTTTTTTCTTTCATGACTTTGGTGACACACTTCAGAAATCTGCCTCACACAAGATCACAAACACTCTCTCCTGTGTTTTCTTCTAAAATGCTGCAGCTCGCCCTAACCGGTTTGGCTCAGTGGATAGAGCATCGGCCTGCGGACTGAAGGGTCCCAGGTTCGATTCCGGTCAAGGGCATGTACCTTGGTTGTGGGCACACCAGGAGGCAGCTGATTGATGTTTCTCTCTCATCAATGTTTCTAACTCTCTATCCCTCTCCCTTCCTCTCTAAAAAATCAATAAAATATATTTTAAAAAAATTAAAATGCTGCAGCTTTCAGTTTTACATTGAGGGCCATGGTCTAGTTTGAGTTCATTTTTACCAATGATGCCAGGTTGGGGACGTGCCTACCCCTCGTCCCAGCACCAGTGTGGTGAGCCCTGCCCTCTCTCCGTGCGTCTCCTGACACCGTCATGAAACGCACTGCCCTGACGTGTGGGGTCTGTCCGCCCCGACGTTGTGTCTGGAGTCGGGTAGGCAAGGCTCCCACTAGGTCCCGTCTTTGCCGAGAGCTCGGGTGTCTGTGTGGATCTTGGAACCGCCTGGGCTTGAGACGGACGCTGTCGAGGTTTGTCTGGGGCAGCGTTGATTCTTCAGTGCTGTCTCTCTCCATCTACTTAGGTCTTTTTTCATTTTTTACATAACGTTTTGTACTTTTCACTGTGTATGTTTTACATATTTTTTGTCAAACATGTCCCTGACTCTCTAAGAAACTTTTAATGCAGTTGTAAACAGTAATTTCAATTTCTAGTTGCTTGGCCCTAGCCAGTGTGGCTCAGTGGATAGAGCATCGGCCTGTGGACTGAAGGGTCCCAGGTTTGATTCTGGTCAAGGGCACATGCCTGGGTTGAAGCTCGATCCCCAGTGGGGGTGGTGCAGGAGGCAGGCAGTCAATGATTCTCTCTCAGCATTGATGTTTCTGGCTTTCTCTTCCTCTCCCTTCCTCTCTGAAATCAATAAATAAATAAAAACAAATGAAAAGTACATTTCTAGTTGCTTGTAGCTAGGATTTATTATGCAGTTGGTTTTTGTATATTAATCTTGTGTCCTGTGAGCTTGCTAAACTCAGTGTTTCCAGTGGTTTTTATGGGTTAGATGGGGTTTTCTATGCCTGCAATCGTGAGTTCAAGTAGAGATAGTTTTCCTCCTTTGTTCTCTGGGTGTATTTTGGTGCTTTTGTTTGCTTTTGCCTCACGGCGGGGCTGGAGCTTGGAGACAGTGGGGAAGAGGTGGTGAGTGGGTTGTGTGTGCCCAGCGGGGCCCCTCTGTCTGGCTGAGGCGCTAGGTCCCTAGTTTGCAGCTTGAGGCCACAGTGGATGAGGGATTCTGCTGGGCTTTCATGTCTCCGTTGGGTGGACGTGTGGTTTTCCTGTCTGTCTGTCGAGATGGCCAGTGAGGTGATGAGCACCACCCCTGCTGTGGTGGTGTTGCCTGTCACCTGCTGCGAGGCCGACTTGCTGAGACTTTATTCACTGTCGCTTCCTGTTCCTAAGGTGCGTCGGCCTGTGGTTTCTCCAAGTGTCTTTTTCTGATTTGGGCATCGAGGTAACGCTGGCCTCACATACGCTGGGAAGTGGCACCTCCCGTCCGTCTCCGGGGCAGGGGTGTGGGCCTGGCGGGTGGGCCAGGGAGGCTTCTGGGCCTGGCGCGCTCTGTGGGAAGCTCCCCGACTACAGATTCAGTCTCTTCCGTGGATAAAGCGCCCGGTCCTCAGCCTCGCGTAGAGGGAGCTCTGGCCTTACCTGCCTTCTGCGGACTCTGTGCGTTCCATCACGTTGTCTATTTGCACAAAATCATTTTCTTTTTGTATCTGTAGGACCTCACCCGGTGCCCCCTCTCGTTTCGGATCCTGGTTGTTTGTGTCTTCTCGTCCCCGTTAGTGTGGCTGGAGGGTTGTGCATGTGACCTCATCGGGGACGGATCTGGCTCTCGGTCTCCAGCTCGTTTCCGTCTCTGCGTTGGCTCTGATCTCTGCCGTGTCCTGTCTTCTGCTCGCTCGGGACTCCATCTGCTGCTCTGCTTCTCGGGTGGACGTGGGTCCTTGAATCGAGGCCTTTCTTCCTCTGTCTTTTAGGCCTTGCTCTCGGAGGGACGCGGCCACTCCTCTATTACTGGACACTTGGTGCCCAGGCTTCTGTCACGGTGAAGCAGTGGACACGCCCATGTCTTCGTGTGACAGTGGGCCAAGGGGAGGGCAGCCTCTCCTCTGAGCCCGGAGACGGCCCCGTTCTCCTCTCCCTGTTCCTGCAACGTGCTGCCTCCCACCCCGCTGCTCATCTGGCCTCGTGCTTCCCTCCTCTGTGCAGACACCTCTAGGTTTTACCCCTGGGCTCTCGCTGTCCTGGACCTGCCCGTAGGAAATTGGTCGGTCTCTCTGTCCAGCTCCACAATCACTGTCTTCCTGGCAGGTGTTATTTTTTACTCAGCCTGTCAGTAACTCGAAGCATTTCAACTGGGTGACTTCGTATCAAACCTTTCTCGTGTGCCCAGAATGAACAACGTGATGTTTTTTATTTTGGTGAATTCTTCCTTCAGTTTAGTGTTTTTCAGGCTGTTGGGGTAAAGGGCTGAACTGCAGGTTGATGGGTTACCTCCTTGCTGGGCACTGTCTTGGGTCTCTCCGCTTGGTCTCTGAAGAGGGCAGGTGCGGGATCATCCTGCACGCGCGTGTGGGCAGCTCTCACTGGGGGCACAAGCCAGGTCCTCTCAGCCCCTCCTCTGTAATCCATCTGCTTTACGGTTTTTGTCCTCCTTAGGGTCAAGTTCCTAAGTCCTAGGATGGTTCTTTTCTGGTGGCTCTCATCTTGGAGTTGATTGTATCCCAGGCAACTTGGTCAAGATTTTGTTGAAGGGACAGCGTGGGGCTGCGGGGGCCTCATGCCAGGACCCTCAGGTGCCATTTTTCCTGCTTCACACACCCCCTCCCAGGATTTCGTGCTGTGATGGGTCCTGAAGATTTCTTCTGCCCTTGGAGCACCCCCCTTGCACCCTGCTGTCCCCCATCAGTTGGTTCTCCAGGTGCCCAGGTGTGAACTTGGCAGAGCGTGGGTGTGGCCCAGGCTCTGCGAGGCTGTGGCTCAGCTCCTGGGCCATTGCTGGTTTGAGGCCAGATGTGCTTTGTTGAATATCCTTCATCGTCTGTGCTGGAGCTCTGATCATCTTGTTTCCTTGAAGGTAGACTTTTTATTTCTCATTTTTTACTCGTTCTTTTGTGTTAAAAAATAAGACACCAGGCCCCCAGTGGAGTCGCTGTGCTGAGCCCCACGTCACCACACCAAGACCTGGCTGACTCACAGTGTCTGCGCCTCCAGGGGTGGAGTGCCTGGGTCCGTCAGGGTCAGCTCTAGCGAGGGGTCTGCCCGGTGGGCCATGCATGTCATGTCCCCTAAAGGAAGTGACCTTTCTGTACCGAGCACTGTATTGCCCAGCACAGCGTCCCTGTTCCCGCCTGCGCTGCCTGTAACGGTCCCAGCGGTGCCAATCCTCCGAGCCCCTCTCTCTGCAGGATTGGGTGCTGCCCGGTGCCAGTCAATTGTTGTAAAACTCTTAAAATTGTAGCTCAGTTTCCTTTAACAGTTGTTTTCAGTGAATTTCAAGGGGGTAATTCTTTATAATCAGAACTAGAGGCCGATGCACGAAATTTGTGCACTTGGGGGGAGGGGCGTCCCTCAACCCTGCCTGCGCCCTCTTGTAGTCAGGGACTCCGGCTCCTTACCGCCTGCCTGCTCGCTGCTCCTTAGCGCTGCCACCACAGCCGCTGCACTTGCCAGCGGTGAGCCCGGCTTCTGGCTGAGTGGTGCTCCCCCTGTGGGAGCGCACTGACCACCAGGGGGCAGCTCCTGCATTGAGTGTCTGCCCCCTGGTGGTCAGTGCGCATTGTAGTGACCTGTTCCACTGTTGGGTCGATTTGCATATTAGGCTTTTATTATATAGGATTACTTCCTGATTGATACAGTAATATTAATATTTCCCTAACACTTCACACTGTGTTTTTATTTTTTCCTCCTTGTCCACTTCATGCATTAAACGTTCCTGGAAAGAAAGGAGTCTGTGCTGTCCTGTTGGTGCGACATTAGGATTTTCCTATGACACAGACCCTGGCGTCCCCCTCGGTCCTCCAGCCTCCCGGCCTCTGGTGCCGTGAGAACCTGGGAGCCAGCAGTCCCTCCACATGCTTTGTAGAGAGTGCATAGCGTTGGACTCGGTCGCGGTCAGGCCCAGCCCCGTGTGCAGCCGCGACAGCGGGTTGTGCTGTCTTCTCCCCGCAGGACCACGAGCAGACGGTGTCACTTTGCACTTGAGCACGTCAGCCACTTGGGAGTGAAAGGTACTGTTGCTGTGGAGCGAGCCTGACGCCCCGGGTTCTCTCAGCCTCGAGTGCACGTGGCGTGGAGCAGTCCCCTCCCTCACGTGTTGGAAGGAAAGCTGGGCTGGCGGGTGGCTCAGCGGTTAGAGCGCCGGCCTGTGCGCTGTAGGGCCACGGGTTCCCTTCCGGTCAACAGCACGTACCTGGGTGGCAGGTCCCCTGCACCATTCCGGGCGTGTGCGGGAGGCGACCGATGGATGTCTCTCACATCAGTATTTCTCTCTCTCCCCCTCCCTCTTCCGTCCACTCTCTCTAAAGTCAATGGGAAAAATATCCTCAAGTGAGGAGTAACCAAAAAAAAAAAAAGTGAAACTGATTTCCAGTGTTGTTTTTCCTATTGGGAAGTTTCCGTGTTGTCTTATTTCAACTTTGTAAAAGTAACCCTTAGATTATTGAAAATAAAGCCACTGCCTCTGTTCTCCCCTCTTAATAGGATTCCTTTTGTACCTACAAGTAGACAAACCATGGCTTCTGTTCCCAAGCACGTGCTGGGCTGGCGTAGCTGTGGCTGCGTCCACGGGGACTCGGGGCTGCTGCAGCCTTTCGTCTCCTTGTGCGTCTTCCTAACGCTTCTCAGTCACACCTGCCTTGTTGCCCTTTCTTGTTTTAAAAGTGTTGTTTCCAGAAGAAGTCATCTTACAGTCTCCCCAAGTGACAGGCAGTTGGAACTGTGCAGGAGACGGCAAGAGCGACGGGCAGCCCACCCCCGAGGTACCTGCCGTGACTCAGCCTGCAGGAGCGCTCGGCGTGGCGGGCGTGGGGGTGGGTCACGGGTGGCCCAAGGCACGGTTAGGACCGCGCTGGGGACCCGAGACGGTGCGAGGTGGTTTAGTGAGCAGTGGGGGCTGCGTACGTCAGGCAGCCGTCGTGTGGCGACTCTTGCTTGTGTCTGACGGGTCGCCCCGCAGATGGCCGGCGTTCTGGTCTTTGTGAACGTCAGGAAGGCAGTTGGGTCTTGGCTTAAACAGTCCAGTCTCTGAACGGTGAGGTGGTGTCCGTTGGAGCCAGGCACCGTCCGCAGCTCTGCACGTGTCTTCCGGGTGAACGCAAAGGGGTTGTTCTTGGTCGTGTGTCCACTGACAGAGATCCTCCTGTCACGGTGGGCGTGTCTCTGAGGGCCCTGCACTGGGGTGATTTAGTTTTGTGAGCACGTTTTAAGCTTCTACTAAGCACAGGTTTTTAAATTGTACCCAATGTTGAGGAATCCTCTCACCATGCTCAGCCCCTCCAGAAAGGCCGTCGTTACGGTGTTAGTGCCTCGCGGCCACAGGAGCCCCGGAAGGAGGGAGCAGAGGTTCCACCGGGTCCCTGCTGGGTGTCGTGTGGATCCGTGTTGTCCTTCGGCCACAGACCAGAGGCCTCACCCTGTCCCGCCCGGCCTGCTGGTCTCGAGGCTGCGATGCTGCACCATTTAGGTGGCTGGCCTTCCGCATGGGCTAAGCCTTATACTTTTAAGTGCAGAGCGTGGTCTTTCATGGACTGGCTGGTGGCAGGTAAACTGGAGGGCATTGCACACCTGAGC